CACACACACACACACACACACACACACACACACACACACACACACACGGGCTTTCACTCTTGGAAGGGCGTAGCCAGTGGTGCTTCAGGCTGAAGCAACACTCACAGGGACCTTTCAGGAGCGAGGCCCCGTGGTGGGTCTTCAGAAGGAGGATCTGAGGCTGGAGAGATGGCTCAGGGGTGAAGGGCACTACCCACGGTTCTTACACCTGTGCTGTTTGCACGTGTGTCACTCACGCCTGCTGTAGAGGTCCCCAGTGCTGCTCTTCTTTGGCTTTGAGGAGTCGGAATGGGTGGAACGCCACACTGAGTGGACAGAGCTTGGGCCTGCTTCGTGCCTGGAGGGGGGGGGCATCCTGTCACCTGGAGGGGTGAGGTTAAGTACCCCTGGGGATAATGGCTTTGCTCCACAGGGGGAAACGGTTTTGTTTTGTTTGATATCTCACAGCTATTGTCTCCAACCCCAAAGGGTGTGACATATCTGGTGTGACATACGATGTCTCTTGCGTTCTAAGGTTAAGCTGTGAGAGTGTTTCATCTTATGCCATATTGGCTCGGGCTCCGTGTCAGCCCCTCGTGTTTGAAGCCTGTGGCGTGGGAGTGTGGGGGTTTCCTCCGTTTCCTAGCGGGTGTAGGCTCAGTGCTGCACACCGAGAGTGCTGTGTTTGTGCTCGGGGGTGTGTGCTCTCTGCCCCCCACATCTGCCACCAGTCAGAAGCCACCTCCCGCTGGGGGTGCTGCTTGGCACTGTGTGCTGGCGACAGCCTGGTGCTGGGTACCTATTTACCCAGCGTGCCTCAGGGAGCAGCTGCTGTCACGTGGTCTGTGCGTGCCACTTGTCCTGGCACGTGGACATGTTACTGTCTGAGTTTTTTTTTTTTTTTTCTTTAACATTTTCTCAACTAGAAAAGCCAAATCCCAGACCTGGTTCACACAAAGAGTGTAATCGGGACTCCATTGGCAGCGAATATGCATGAAGCTGGACTGGAACCATCAAATGTTCCCCACGAGATATTGCAGGGACGAGGAGCTGGAAATTGGCTTCCCATGATGCTTTGCTGGGTCGGATATGGACTCACTGAGCTTGTAAAAGGAGCCTGTGGACCTAGGGATGGATGGGGGCTGTCTCCGACTCTCCCCAACTATTCTGTGCAGCTGGAAGAGAATCGTGCACACCACGTGCTTTAGAATGGACAGAATTTATTTGGGCTCATGGTCCTGGAAGCCAGGAGTTCAGTCAGCAACTTAAGGGACTTTCTGCAGCATCATTACAGTAGTTGGCCAGGGGGCTGTGTGAGAGAGCCAGAGAGGGTAGCGAGGAGTAACGAAGAAGCCAGACTCACCTTTCTAACAGGCCCCATGGACAACAACCAACCTTAATTCCTCCCAGTGGTTAGAGCCCTCCTGACCTCACCTTGTAAACACCCCGCCTTCTCACATCATGACGGGCACATTTCAGCAGGATTTGGGGGGAATGACCCTCACACCACGTCAGGTCAAGGGCAAGAATCCGCTGGCTTTGCGCTCATAGCCACGAGCACACATTTAAGTTCAAGGTCCTCACATTAACCCTTGAGAAATGCCCTGCGGTGGAGGCAGCAGAGTAGCCAACAGAGAGGCTGGCAATGGCTTGGCACTCCTCTCCTAGGACCTCGACCTCCTACTATTACTGTGGATTTACACGAAAGAGAACTGTCTGGGGGCAGTATGGGGATTCAAAGCGCAGAAACAAGAGAAGGCTGTCTTCCGTGCTCTGGTTTTTTTTTTTTTATTATTATTATTTTAATTTATTTGACAATGCCACACATTGCCTGTGCTTGTCTGGAATTCTTGCTAAGGATGGCCTTGAACCCTGGACCCGTCTGCCTCTTCCATCCCCTTTGCAGTTGTGCACCACCGTGCCTGACTCCTGCTGCCTTTTGAGCACAGTAATTGCACGTTTTTCTCCTTGGAAACAATGGTGAAAAGGATATTTCCAACAAATCTTTTTAAAGATCACAGCACATCCTTGGCTAGTGCCAATTTGTCTTATTGGGAATTTTTTGTTGTTGTTGTTGTTCCAATTCGTGCCTTTGGGGGATGGCGTTTACTCCGTTCTTCACTGAGACACTGGAGCATTCTCTCCTCCAGAGGGAGAAGGATCGAGCCCCAAGCTCAAAGGCTTCCCTAGAGCAAGAAGGGGCAGCCTGGGCCAGGAGGGACTGGGGCTCATTCCTTTAAAGGGTCCACACCCTGCTGCACTGTGTGAAGCTTTGGCCCGTGATGTTTTCCAGAGTACCCTGCCTCAGCTTCTACGTTACATGCCTTATAACCCAGCAGGGTCAGGGCATAGGCACTTGTCTCTCTGCGAGGAAACAAATACATCGATGGGACATGAGTTCTAATATGCAAATTTAAAATACCGTTTAATGATAAAAAAAAAAATTTCCCCTGAAAGCTGTCTTCTGTCAAATTTCCAAGACCCAGAAAGTGTGGTTGACACTTGGAATCCCAGCGTGATGGAAGTTAAGACAGGAGGATTGAAGTGGGTTTGAGGATAGGCTGGGCTCTATGAACAACCCCCCGCCCCAGTGTGTGGGTGTGTGTATGTGTGTGGTATGTGTGTGTATATGTGTACGTGTCTGTGTAGGTATGTGTGTGTTTGTGTGTTTGTGTATTTGTATATGTATGTGTGTGGTTTGTATATGTGTGTATATATATATGCGTGTGTATCTGTGTTTGTGTGTGTGATGTTATACTACCACACAACACTCCCAGATGTTTATGTAAAACTTCACGTGAAAAACATCACAGACTTGCCAAGCCACACTCACAACAGCACTGCTCACAACAGCTAGGGTGTGGAAGCAACCTACGTGTCCCTCAGAAGAGGCATGGCTAAAGACAATGTGGGCTTGTTTTCAGCTGTGAAGGAAAGTGAAGCTAAGCTGATTGTAATAAAATGGCTGCTCTGGAGATAATCATAAAGCAAACGGAGTCAGTTCCAGAAAGACAAATGTCACGTGTGTCCTGTCATTTGTGGTCTCAGACTTTAGAGAGGCAAAATCATATATGTGTTAATAACAGGAGAGCATCGAAACTAGGGGGCAAAGGGAAGTGCAGGGGGAGAGAGATGGGGGGTGGGGGAGAGAGAAGGGAGAAGGGGAACAGGGAGAGGGAGTGAGAAGCGGGGGGCATAGCAACATTACATACATGCCTGAGAATGGTCTGGTGTAATGCTATGTGAGAATAATAGCTTAAGAGTGAGAAAAAGAATCATTAAACAAATAAATAAAAACACAGTGAAGAGGAGTCCTCATTGGTGACCAATGCCATATTTGGCACCTACTGTCTACTGCCGTGGCCTTGGCTCCACTCACTCTGAGACCTGCAGCCTGAGCCACTGCCCCGATGCAATGTCCAAGGTTTGTGTGGACAGTCACAGCCGGCCCCAGCTTCCCTGGCTCATCCTGGGCACAAGTCTGGGCTTGCTGGTGCAGCCCTTTGTGACCGGGGCCGTGTGTGTCATGCTGGGCACCCCGCATTCGCCTGGGGACTCTCTGGTGCAACCCGGGCTATTTCGGGAGCCAGCCTGCAGAAGTTGCCTTACAGCCACCGCAGCACTTGGCGTTGCGTGGCTGCCTGATGCCTGTGCTTCGCTGGTGATTTTAACCAGGGACGCCTGCCTTTCTGCCACAATGTCACTGCAGCGAGGCTGCTCACGAGTGCCTGGCTCCTTCAGGACCCAGTCTGTGGGGTCCTGTGGCGGGGCTTTGTTCAAGTGTTTATGATCTCCGAATGTCCGCGTGTTATATTCGCACTGACTATCAGTCAGTGCCTGTAACTAAGTCACCCAATGGCATGTTTTAACAGAGCTTCCTTTTACCTCCACAGCCACAGCCCTTTCAGACAGCACAAAACCAAAGACAAGCATGAGATAGACCGAATGACCCTAACGGTGGTAAGAGGCCAGGGGATGGTTTCTGCATCGTGTTCTGTTGCTGGCGAAATGTGCTGTAGAATAGCATGAGGTGCCACAGGGCCGGAGGGATGGCCCTGGGGGGGGAAGTGCTTGCCACACAGGCCTAGGGGACATCCATTCTTGGGGGACATTTTGAAAGAAAAAGAAAATGTGAGTGGATATACAGCTGGGGAAAAAGACCAGATTTGCAAGTGAACAGAATAAGAAGGATGTGGAAAGCGGGAGAGCAGACACGGCCATGAGATAAATGGAGAGATGACCCCCTGCAGAAGGAGAGGTCACAGCCACCGGCTCCTCACGCCAATCAGTAACCATTAAAACCAATCAGTAGCCATTTTAGACTTACTGTGAATCTTAGTGAATTTAGTTTGGATCTTCCCTTACCCAAGGAGCAGTCTTGGCTCCCGTTGGGCATGAGGCCACCGTCTTAGGATGGGCCTCTGACACCCGTCTCTTCTCTCCCTAGAACGTGCAGCTTCCCGACGCCTTCTCCCCTGAGCTGAGGTCCCTCCTGGAGGGGCTGCTCCAGCGGGACGTGAGCCAGCGGCTGGGATGCTGTGGAGGCGGGTAGGCCGACTCTCAGAGTCTCCAAACGGGTCACATGGCACGCTGGTTGGTTGCCCATCCCATTGCCCTTACAGTACCAGGTGGAGATGCCCCGAGGGAGGACATGTTTTCTTCTTCCCACGGTTTCAGAGGGGTCAGCCTGTCCATGGCTGGAAGTCAGAGTGCTGTGGGTCAGTCTTCGGGTGGGGGCGAGGGTGGGGCTTGCATCTCAGAGAAGCAGGAAGCAGAGATGGGAGAACTGGAGGATTTTCTTCAAATCGAATCCTTTCTTGGAGCGAAGCCCCACTTACTAAAGATTCCAGCCTCCCCAAGCAGTGTGGCCAGCTGGGAAATCTGCATTCAAACAGGTGCTGGGGGGGAGGGGAAGGGGGGAGAATAGGGAAGTGGGGAGAGGGAAAAGAGGGGAAGGTAGGGGAGAGGGAGGGAGGGAGAGAGAAAGAGAGATTTGTGCTGGTTTTCATTGTTCTTCCTAAGTTCTGTGGGAACTGGGCGTGGCCTTTCTCCCTTTCCCTGTCCTCTGTGGCACTTGGGATTCCTGAGTCTGCTGCTGTCTCCCTGACCCGAGGGCCATCCGCTTTCCTGAGCCCTAATCTTTTAGCTGCAGTATGTTCCCAAGTAGCCCCTTAGAGAGAGGCTGCGGGGTGAGCACTGGCCCTGAAACCAGCCTGATGTTCGGCCTGGGGCAGCTCTGAGGCTGGTGTGCGCTCTCCCCTGGTCCTGCCCGCCGCCCCTTTCCTCTTAGCACTTCTGTCAAGCAGGCTGCTCCTCTGAGCTCCCGATCTTGTGCTCAAGCCGGCTCTAGCCTCCGATTCCTTGTTTTACTCCCATCATTTAGATCCCCAACTCTTCTATTGATTTTTTTTTTTTTTAAAAAAAGCTCTTTGGCAAGTTTGATTCCTCAAATGTCAAACCTTCCAGGGCCTTTCCTCCTGTTAGAATACACAGCCAGTTGTGGGGATTTGGGGAGTCAGAGGTGAGGACAGGTTTGGTGTGTGGGTGAATATGCCTGTTTGGGCGTGTGCACGTGTGTGTGTGTGTGTGTGTGTGTGTGTGTGTGTGTGTGTGCACTCGTGTGTGTGTGTGTGTGTGTGTGTGTGTGTGTGTGTGTGTGTTATGTGTATGTGTGCTCAAGATACTCGAGTCTCCATGAAGGGTCCCAGCCCAAACACACATCCACACCCACACACATACATGTACACACACATGTACACACACACAGGCACACATACATGCACACACACACATACACGAACACAGGCACACAGGCACACACACAGGAGTCAGCCCATCCTACACCCCAGGGCAGCCGACGTGACCCCTGCCTGCACTGCAGACCCCTCCCATCTACCTCTGCACAGCCCCTCTTGAGTCCCCAAGGCACACGAGTTTCTGTGTTCCCCCCCAACCCCCTCGGGGCCTGTGACAGCATGAAGGAGAAGAAGCCAGGCTGGACTCCAGCCCCCTCTAGTTCCCCTGCCACGTGCTCAGCCTGCTTGGTAGACAGCAGCAGGCACGGGCAGGAACAGGACAAGGTCCCTGGGACGCAGTTGCCGGGATGTGGGTGCCAGCTTCTCCTGGGGTTCTCACCAACTCGAAGTCCTCCCCAAGCAGTTGTCAAGTGGCTCGTGTGGTACACTGAGCCCGTGAGGAGATGGGTGCCTGGCTTTGAGCATCGCACACACCGGGCCACAGAGGCAGGGAGGGCTCAGAGGGGCAGGGGCCATGTTGCTGTGTCTCAGGAGGGCAGAGCTGTTAGGGTCACTGAGGATGGAGGAGGGGGAAGGTCATGCCGAGTGAGTGCTCAGGCTGCCCGCTCTGGAGCTGGGGGCTTGGGGCAGGCTCCTGGGAGTTAATAGAGATGAGCAGGGCACAGGTGAGGACCAGCCCACAGGAACCATTGCTGGGGCAGGGAGATGGGCCTGGACTCAGCATGTGACTCTGCTGTGTGCACTCAGCCTTGATCCTGACCTTCAAGGCCTTTGTTTACTCATCTGATGGGGGTGGGGTGGTGGCATAAGTTGTGTTGTTGGAGTTTCCCTCTAAGTCAGCACCGGAGGCTTCACAGTCCTGCCCTCCCATCCTTCTGTCTGTCACGGCTGATGGGCATCTGCGGAGATACTTTAATGCATGGCCCTGCAGCGTCGCTCTTCTTCGGACTGTGTTGTCACGTGCTTGTACACGGCCTGGGTGTATATGTGTGTGTCTGTGGGAGCTGCCAGGCTGTCTGAAGCTTCAGTATACATCTGGGCGAACGGGACATCTTCCCAGGCCTGGCACTGGTGCCTGTGGTCACGGCAGCATCGTCTCTGCCCTCTGAAAGTGAACCCTTGCTTTCTTGCTCACGTGTGTGCATGTGTGTGAACGTGTATGTGCGCATGGATGTGTGTCTGTATGTGTTTGAGCGTGTATATGAGTATGCATGGGGGTGTGTATATGTGTGCATGAGATGTGTTCAAGTATGTGTGTGTGTGTGTCTGTATGTGTGAGTGTGCTTGGGAGTGTGTGCATGTGAGTATGCAAGCGTGTATGTGTGCATGGACATGTACATATGCACGGAGTCTGCGTGTGTGTGTGTGTGTGTGTGTGTGTGTGTGTGTGTACCCAAGACTGATGGGTGTCATCCTTGATAAATCTGTACCTGTACACGGAGGCAGGTCCCTCCCTAGAATGCAGAGGGTCCTGACTGGGCTTGTCTGGCTAGCGGCCCAGGGCATCCCCTGTGTCTGCCCTTGCTACCATGTCAGTCTGAGCTTAGCACAGGAGCCAGGAATGAAACTCAGGGTCTCCGGCTTCCTCGGGAAGCGCCCTGCCCTGGCTGTTTGGCAGCCTGCTCTGGGTTCTTAGAGAACCGGGACACCCCTGTGGTTCTTCTTAGAGAGCCGGGACGCCCCTGTGGTTCTTACTGGGAGACAGTTTGGCACAGCAGCCGTTACATTTCCCAGCTGACCTCTGCAGGACTCTGTCTGTCTCTCCCTCTCTCCTTCCCCAGGGCACAGGAGGTGAAGGAGCACTCCTTCTTCAGGGGCATTGACTGGCAGCATGTGTACTTGCGGAAGGTATCCCTCGGGACCCTCTGGGCGCTGTCTGTCTGCCTTCCTGACCCTGTCCCTACAGCCTCCCCACCCCAGCTTGCCTACAGGCCCGGGCTTGTCATGGTGGAGGAGACTCCTGCTGGGGAGGCTCCTCTTTCTCTTGTCTTCAGACAGGCCAGAAATGCCTGAGTTTTGCATGTGTGGTTCAGCCATCTACGGATGGAATAGATTCAGGAGAAGAGAAATCACAGGTGTGCTGAGCACACCGGGGCTCCTCCTGGCCATTAGTGTCCAAAGGGCACAGACTGACCCCTGTCCTCAGGGCTTGCACCCTGTCGCCCAGAGAGCAAAAACACCCGGTTGAATTTTTCAAATATGTTTCCACGTGAAGCCCAGCTGAAGTGTGGCAGTGGCTTCCACAGGGCCGAGGGGCTGCCTGCCTACTGGCCATGCACCCATCCCCTGGGCAGCCAGCACTGAGGAGGGTTTTCGGCTCGGGGCTCTGGGTGGGCTTCGCTCTCTGAAGGCCGGGGTCGTGTTCTTTTTATAGTCTGTTGCCTTGGGCTGGGGCAATACACAGCCAGTAACTGTGCCCTACCCACCTCTTGGCTCTTCCAGTACTCGCCGCCCCTAATCCCACCTCGGGGAGAGGTCAATGCTGCGGATGCCTTTGACATCGGCTCCTTTGATGAGGAGGACACCAAAGGCATTAAGGTACACGATCTACGAGAGTCACTGTGTGTGCGTTGGCTAGGGACTGACTGGGCCCCTTACACGTGTCTGACAAGCATGCCACGGCCAGGTACATGACCAGCCCCTGAACTCACTCTGTAGCCCGGTGTGCCTGGAACCCAAGCTGCCTCCTCAGCCTCTTGAGTACCTAGGTAATAGGCCAACCACTGTGGAAGCCTCTTCAGCCTTCCTTCTCCTGCTTGGTTCATGTGGATGAGCGGCAGAGTGTTCACGTTTGTTTGTGACATGTGATCTGAGACAGTTACAGCCGATCCAGACACTTCCCACCCCGAGCAGAAGAATCTGTGGTTTTTCACGCTCAGAGTCTAGAGCCTCCCTGTGTCAGGAGGAAATGCGCAGACAGCACGGATGTCTTTGCGCTTGTCAATCAAGGATGAATTGATCGTGGTCTTAGCATCCCCGAGTTTTTCAGACTTCGGTGCATGGCTCTGTTTCTCCAGACGGAGAGAAGACACAGTCACAGTGACTTCTCATGACTTCTCTCAGTGAGTCCTGGAGAAAATTACCATCTTCAGAATGCTAAGTCATCAGGTCACACCGCCCGGCTGCCAGCCTGTCGTCTGCCCCTGACTCTGCCATTTATCCAGGGCCTGGCTTATTCTCCGCTGCCTGAGTTTATCCCTCAAATGAAGTCGCTCGCTTTCTCACCCCTGAGCTTTCCCTCCGGCGGCAGGCCATGGGTGTCATGTCAGACTCATGCCTGCTGCCTGGAGAGAGAGTAGCAGGTGCCATGGCTGGGGGCTGGGGCCTGGCGGGAGCTGTCACCGGGAGCAAGAGTGCTGGGGACAGAGTGGAGGCACAGGCTGGGAGGGGAAGCAGCTGTGAGCAGGGGTGACTGGGCAGAGGCAGAGGACCCTGGAGAGGAGGCTGAGCCCGGGAGGCCATGGGGTATCATGGGTGTGACTCCCAACGTGGAGCCTCCGAGGGCTGAGTGGAGCTGGGAGCCAGAGCCCTGGCCAGGGAAGGAGCTAGAAATAACCCTGAGCTTTATTAAAAATGCTGCAGAGATGTGGTTGTTCAGTTTTGGTTTGGGATTTTTGCATTTTTTTAAATCATGATCTGGTACCAACATAAATTCTCCTTTTCTTCTAATTTATTTCTTCTTCAGTTTTGTTTTTTGTTTTTTGGGTTGTTTTTGAGGTGAGTTTCTGCTGTGTATCTCAGGCTGGCATCAAACTTGGCATATAGTCCCGGCTGGCCTTGAATGAGAGTCCTCCTTGCTTCAGTGTGCCAGGGGCTGGGCTCACAGGTGTGCCCGCCTTGCTGCTCTAGTTCATTATTGGCAGCCCGGGCAAAGCACAGGTGGACTTTGAGAAATTCAGAGGTTGAGACCACGTGTCTATAGACAGAGGTGGTTGTCTGGGGAATGCAGAGTACGTGTGTCCACTCTGGCCAGGGACTTCCTGAGGTCTGCCATCCTGGGGCTGCCCAGAGAGCATGTACACACAAACGCGTGCGCAGTCATACATACACATATGTGCACGTATACACACACAAACATGTACAGATGCATGCACACACGTGTGTTCACATAAACCTGCACATGCATGCCCACACAAACACATACACAGGCACGTGCATGCATATGTACACACACATGCGTATGCATGCCTCTCAGCACGTTCAGAACAGCAGAGGACTTTAGCTCCGGGCTTAGTTTGGTCATGGGAAGAAGTTGGAAGTAGAGAAGGCTCCAGCAGTCAACATCAGCTGCCAGTCACCAGGGCGCCTTGGCCTGTCAGGCTGGACAGGATGCCCCAGATCAGGGTGGGTGGAAGTCCCTCCTGGGGCCAATGCGGAGCATCTCCTTTCCTTTCGAAGCAGGCCGCCTGCTGCTGTAGCTGTCAGCTTTCTGTCTCCCGGAGGACACCGAGTTTCAGGCTGCTCTGGCAGAGGCAGCTCCCACTGCCTGGGCTTAACCTGGGTCAGAGCCGCTGTGTCCACTCGATTCCCAGCGCAGCCTGCCTTAGAGGGTGGGACAGGGGCATCCCAGTAACAGAAACATCGTTGAGGAATGTGTGTCCGTTACTGTGGCTCTCAGAGCTGGGGGCCCACACTCCATGCCACTCACACTTAAACACCAGTTCACGGTGGTGGGTGAGGTCCCAGGTAGCTGCAGCCTGCGGGGAGCTTTTCCGCCTTTTCAGATCATCTGAGGGGGGTCAGCCGGCCTGGCTGTCTACCCTGACCAGATTCCAAACACTGTGCAGACCCGCATTTGTTCTTACTACAGCACTAGGGTGCGGGGCTGGGAAGACCGACAGAGCATTCAGGCAACGGCTTGCTGGGCATGGGCGACTGCGTTCACAGCTCTGGGGCACGTGCAGATTAGGCCCGGTGGGGCACACTCCTACCCAGTGCGGGAAGTCAGGGAGGAGAGATGAGAGGAGGCCTGGGTCTTGCCAACCAGCTGGTTTAGTCAGTCTCTGAGCTGCATGCTCAGTGAGACACTCTCTCCCCCACACATAAATAAGTAAATAAGTCATAGGGAAAGACACTAGTGCCAACCTCTGACCTACATACACACACACCTCCATGCACATACACTCAGACATGTACAGACACATCCATGTACTCCCATACACATTCACACACACAGGGACACGTGCACCACATACACACATATAGCCACACATACACAAGCAAAAAAAAAAATGTTTTTTAATAATTTAAAAAAGTCAACGTATGCTCATTTTCATTGGCAAAAAATACCCCGACGCCACTGATGGTCAGGCCCAGACCAGCGTGGCTGTGTCTTGGGATGGTAAAGACCCTGTGAGTGTGTCTCTCCCCATGACCGTGAGGGGTCCCACGGCCATGGTGCCGGCTGCCCTGAATCGGGGCAGGCGCTTGAGCACACGCCCCGTCTTCCCTCTCACCCCCAGCTGCTGGACTGCGACCAGGATCTCTACAAGAACTTCCCGCTGGTGATCTCTGAGCGCTGGCAGCAGGAAGTGGTGGACACCATCTACGCTGCCGTCAATGCCGACACGGATAAGATCGAGGCCAGGAGGAGAGCTAAAAACAAGCAGCTGGGTCAGGAGGAAGGTGAGCTGCCCACGTGCATCAAGCTCTTCCACGAGTGGGTTTCCTGTGGGTTGGGAGGGCTGAGTCACGGTGACCAGGTGATGGAGGTGCTTGTGGGGGAGGCGGAGCTGTCTCAGACCTGGGGCGTTGCCTCCCCTGGCACTTTGGGAATGGAGCATCACAGAGTGACGGACATGCCCGGTGAGATTCCACAAATCTCCATGACAGACATGCACGGCACAGCACCTGTGTCCGGGACAAGTTCGAGTTCACTCTGCCCAGAATTGCAAGCCCATACCAGATGGCCAGCTCTCTGCGTCCCACCCCTGCCTCCCTCCCCAGTCCTCTCCTTTCTCCCTGTCTCAGGGGACATGTGGGTTTTACCCTTTTAGGGGCGGTGATCTCTCTAGATTATAAGCTCCCAAGGCTGGGCAGGTTTTATCTTTTTTAAAAAATCATTGTTCCTGGCTGAACCCACAAAATGTAGCCCCATTCCTAGCCCCCATGGTGCCCGGGGCAGATTGATGGATGACTGAGTGATTTTAACACAGTCGCCAAGGTTTTAATGATGGTCATGAAGCATGTCACCCATTCTCCTTCAAGAATGCACTTGCCTAGAAACTCAGTCAGCGCCCATTGCAGTTGCTGCCCTCAGTGTCCCCGTGGGCAGTGAGCCGAGGATGAGTGCCCTGTGGATGCCACTTTAACCTTGGAGGGAGATCCCTGGCTACAGAACCATTCATAGGATGAGAGTGGATTAAGGGACAGCTTCCCTAATTGGCAGTGGACCTTTGGAGAGAATTCACAATTAAGCAGTCTTATTTAGCAGTCATTCTCATACATATAGTTAAAAAAAAAAAAAAAAAGGTTTGGGAGCAAACATTTTGCCACGTCAGAGTTGCAGGTTCAAATCCTGAGATCCTGGGGTCCCTCTGCAGCCCCGGAGTGTGTTGTCTGTGGGCTGGCTCAGGACCTGAGTGACGCTGTGTCCCCACCCCCACCCCCCGCAGATTACGCCCTGGGAAAGGACTGCATCATGCACGGGTTCATGCTGAAGCTGGGGAACCCCTTCCTCACGCAGTGGCAGAGACGCTACTTTTACCTGTTCCCCAACAGACTGGAGTGGAGAGGAGAGGGCGAGTCTCGGGTGAGTCAGCCCCGGGCGGCTCCCTCACACTGCCTCACACCCTCTGTCTCCAGGGTCACAGAAACCAGGGCTACTGTGGCCTAACTAACGTTTAAGTCCCTTCCCAGGGTAAGATGAAGGAGTCATCTGGAAGACTGAGTCCCTAGTCCAGCAGCCTCAGGGCCCAGTGGGGGCTGGGGAGGGCAACGGCTAACAGCTAGGGTGGGAGATGAGCAAAGCGGGCATCCCAGCTCATTGCCTGCTGGACTCAGGACACCCCAAAGTGCCTCTCTGGGTCTCAGTTTCTCACCTGTGGATGGAGAGGCACAGAATGTGTAAGAGCTCCCATGATTATGTTAGGCTTGCCCAAGGCCAGGTGATGTAAACAAACTCAGTGGTTAGTGGCTCCCAGGGTTCGACACCAGATTTACCGGGGGTGGGGGGGTATTCCAGGGCAGCTACTGTTAGCAAAGGGACAAGGCAGGCTACTTCCGTTAAACACTTACCATGTGAGAGGCCAAGGAGGGGGCCAACCTGGATGGAGAGGGTGCTGTCTGCAGCGAGCCAGGGCAGGCCATGCATGTCAGCATGGTCCCCATGTGTGGAGAGGCAGGAGTGAGGCTCAGCAGCCCCGCCCCCAGGGTCAGAGGAGCCAAGCAGAAGCCTCACCTCTTTCATCCTATCTGAGTCATGGGTTTGTTTGTTTGTTTGTTTGTTGACAAATGCTGGTGATGTCCGAGGCAATTCCAAATGCTGGCAGTTGTCTGTGGTCACCTCGCCCACTGTGTAGGAAGGTCCTTTGAAATTAAAATCTCCAAGATTTGATGCACTAAATCAGAAGTTCTGTGGGTGCCCCAAGATGCAGCTCTTTGCTGGCAGGTCTTCCGGGAGCCTGTACAGGAAGTCCTCTGTTAGCCTCACTGTGGAGGCCAAAGCAAGCTGTTGTGGTTCCAATAGAGTCTCCTCTGTCTCCCTCTGTCTCTCTCTCTCCCTCCCTCCTCCTCATTTAGTGTTTTGTGTGAAGCTAGGCAGTTCCCCGAGCTACCTCTGTAAGAATGAACAGAGGAACAGAGTGTATGGGAGTTTTTCCTGAAGCTCTTCACGCCAGATCCCTGTGAACTTTATCTAGGATATAAACAAACAGACAACCCCCCCAAATTAACAGGGAGGAACTCACGGTGCTGTGGCCTCCTGCTGAGCCATCACGCTGGCTCCACTTTGAGGCCCCTGTGAGAATGCTGCCTATATTTGGGTCTTTTTGACACAGACCAAGATGGCTCCAGCGTCTTAGGCTATCTCCACACCTCAGCTGTCACCCACCTGTCATCCATCGCTGCTCCCTGTTCTCCTGATGATGGCTGGACAGTAGCAGATGTCCCTGGGAGGTGGCCCTGCCCATTCACAGCTGCCCAGACCAGCACTGTAACACAGAACGCCAGGCCACGGGCCTTTACAGAAGTGTTGCTTTCCTGGCGTTTTCTTCCAGGCATTTTACTTTGGGCTTGTGTGTGTGTGTGTGTGTGTGTGTGTGTGTGTGTGTGAGAGAGAGAGAGAGAGAGAGAGAGAGAGAGAGAGAGAGGGAGAGAGAGATTTGTAGCCATTCTCCTTATTTCTAGAATACCAGACAAGAAAGGGAAAGACGCCATTTACGTTTGAAAATGTACTCTTTGATTTTTTTTTTTTTCTCCTAAGAGCTCTCTGAATACCAAAGTAATTGTTACCTTTTCTATTTGTGTTTAGCAAAATTTACTGACCATGGAACAGATCTTGTCTGTGGAGGAGACCCAGATTAAAGACAGAAAGTGCATTTTATTCAGAATAAAGGGAGGGAAGCAATTTGTCTTGCAGTGTGAGGTGAGTTTTTTACTGACATCCCCTGGGATAAAAGCCTACAGGATGGGACCATCTCAGGGCTGCTGCCAGGTCCCCAAGCCTCCCCTTGCCTCTCCCACAGACTTACGAGGACGAGGTTTAGGTAAATGGAGTCACATCACAGTGTTAGCAGGAGAGAGAGTGCAATGATGTGGCAGTTGGGTCTGGGGGCTGCCCAGGGGCGGCTGGCGGCTGGAGTCTGGAGTTTATCTCCGGGATTCCAGAGGGACTTTTCCAGGGGACGCTGTCTGTGTTTTTCTCTGAGTTGTGCTGGAGCTCAACTTTCATCTCTGATCATTTCTCCCTGGTGTATTTCGGCCTGTGCGCAAGCATGTTTTTGTAGGGTGGAGGCAGAGAAACTAGTAGAACAAGGGCACCTTTTAGCCTGCGTTTGGAAAGGGGGTCTTGCTATGTAGTCCAGGGTGGTCAGGAACTCAGGTCTCTCCTGGCTCGGCCTCTCCAGTGCTGACACTCTCCTTAAGCTTCAGGGCCAGCAGCATGTGTCTGGGTTCAGGCCCCCGGGACCATAGCCATTGACAGATACCGTTGGCAGATGGGTAGACAGGTCCCCATTCCCGCCCTGTGTCTGTACAGAGTGACCCCGAGTTCGCACAGTGGCTGAAGGAGCTGACCCACACCTTCACCGAGGCCCAGAGGCTGCTGCGCCGGGCCCCCAAGTTCCTCCACCAGCAGCGTGCCACCATCCTGGAGTTCTCCAAGCCACCGCTGTGTCACAAAACCAGCAGCGGCCTCTGAACCACAGAGCAGCAGGGCCTGAAGGACGGGCCCCAGCTCTTCAGCCCAGGAGTAGAGCGGAGCGACGGGGAGCCTTGTGGGGCCAAGACACAGCGGTTCTGAGCCCTGGCTAAGGAGGCCCATGACACAAAGATGGCCCTGCTGCAGCAGCTGGGACATCCTCAGGGCCGGCCTAGCCACACTCCCAATTAGCGAAGAAGCAGAAGGCATTTTTCTGCGTACCCACTCACTTTGGTATCCACGGACCCCAGAACGTGAAACGACCCTTACCGCTCAAGCTTTTATGTCTGGCATCCAGCATCTCTGGGGCGGGACCACAGTCTCTTGGACTGCGGCGGCCCGTCCCAGGCCTCGCTGTGTCTGAGTGCCCGCCTGAGGTATGGGGGCTGTGGCCCTAGATCCTGGAGGAGGCACGGCAGCCTAGGGGTCTCTGTAGGTCAGGGCTGACTCCTTGCTGTCCCAGAGGTGACGAGGTGGCACCGAGACCCATGTGCACTGCCTGCCTCTGATGGCTCCAGGAATGCCAGTCAGAGGGGAAAGGTTGGATTGTCCCCTTGAGGAATCTCCATGGCATCCATCATGGCCACTTCTGGTCAGCACAACCAGGGAAGATGCCCCAAGACTTCACGTCAGACAGGATGCGGGCAACTCCTACATGCCATCCACGCATGGACTCGTGGTCTCTGTGGTGGGCAGGTCTGTGACAGAGGGTCCTTCATCTCCCCTTGGGAAGTGTATCCGAGGATGTGCCCAAGGTAGAAAGAGTTGCTGCCTTGCCTTTCAGTATAATTTCTAAGGAACTCAGACTGATGGGTGCCGGTGTTCCGGCGGTCTCCCGTGCGCCCTGGCTTCCCCCTCATCATGCTCTCATTAACGCACCGCACACTGGATCACCCTGACGGGGGCGGCAATTAGCCCAGCATCCTTCCCTTAAAGGTTTTCTCCGCTGCTGCCCTGAATGAATGCCGCATCCCCTTGTCACCACACTGAAACACAGGTCCTCGAAGGTCTCTGTGGACCTGGCTGATCCCCAGGGGCTATGTTATTGAGTCTCAAATGAACAGCTTGAACACATAAAGAAACCTAACATCAGAATTTTTTGTATTCTGTCCTGGATCTTCCTTACAGTCCCCGGTGTGTATTCTTAACGTTTCTGTGCTGGGAAAACAAGCTGTTTATTTATTTACTGTTTGTTTTTTTTTAAATTGCGGTTATCTTTTGAGAGCAAGGAAGATAATTCAACAAGAGGGTCCATCAGTGTCTTGGTGCCCGTCTCGCCACCCATTCGGTGTCTGAGCTCACAGGCTAGTGACACTGTTCGCAGCCTCTGGTATGGGAATGCGGCCACGCCTGGCACAGGTACCTGCTTGCTTAAAAAGAATAGCATCCAAATTCTACCCCACACATGCCGTTAGGTACTGCGGTTACTGTGTAGGCTTGGCTGGAGTAGACGGTTCACACAAGCATCATCAGAGCTGGGGGCGGGGCGGGGGCCGTGTCTCTGGCCTCTTCTTCTCGGCACGAAGTGTCGGTGGCTTGACCCCAGCAGGTGTTGGGCTAGCCTTGAAAATCTCCTACCGGAGGGGTAGCTCTACCAAAGGCTTTTTTTAAAAGACGACACAGGATCATGGGGTCCTGAACCCACATAAAAACGAGCCAGACTCTCGAAGGTATCATGGGTTGTTGTTTCAATAACAGTAAGTTATTTCAATGACAATATTCAATAACAGTAAGTTGTTTCAATAACAATAAGTCAATTTTAAGGCTCTTTCTCTTTTGGGATAGAGATGTGTGGCTGTGTGTGTGTCTGTGTGTGTATGTATAGGGTCTCCTATGAGTTCTCCTGCCTCAGGCTTATTCCAAGTAAACCATCTTGTCCCCTTAACCCCATTTCCCTCCCAAAGGCACAGGCGGGAGGGAGGGCGGACGGCCCTTGCTGGAGTCCTAGAGATTGGAATGAGCTGGTGATGGGTCTGTGGACACCTTCTCGGAGGCAGTCTTTCCACCCCAGCATCCGGCGAGGGCAGAAGAAGAAGCCGGCTGGGCTGGCTGCTGCGCATGGCTGTTTGAGAGTTTTCATCGTCCTCTTAACGGGACAAGCCGCTGTGTACACTTTACTCAGGTTTCTGGGCTAGAGCGATCAACACGGTTGAGGGCGTTCCAGGTGATGCCGCTTTTATACAGTTGTGCCCTAAGAAGCCTTGGTTCTATAAAGCAAGAATCAATCAATACACAGAGCCCAAGAATGTTAGATTACTTTAAAAGCAGCTATGTGAGACACACTAAATTAAAACCTTTGGCAAACCCCACTTTATTATTATTATTTTTTTAACCTATAATGCCCTCTTGTTCTTGGGACTCTCTGCTTTTGCCTCTGGGTCATAGTTAAGTGTGATGTGTGCTTTTTTTTTTTTTTTTATCTAAGCCTGTGACAATCGTCTCACTGTGGTGGTTGACAGAGAGAAGAACCTGTGTCACTGTTGGTAAAGGAGCCTGCACATTGATGGGCCCATTGGCTGACATTACAAACTGTGTGTGTTAAAGCCAGCAGTGAATCGTGGGTTGTGACCCTCTGGGGAGACACAAGGAAGGCTTACAAGCCCAGCATTTATTGGCAGAGGCAGGAGGCCGATGAGTTTTAGGCTAGCTTGGGCTACATAGCAAGCCCCTGCTTTCAGAACACCAAGGGCCGTGGCAGTGGCTCATAGGTCTCAGGTTCTGGGTTTACCTCCCAGTGGGAGTGAAGGGTGGGCAGCAGACTGTTAGCCAGCTAGTGTAAGATTTAGCCTAAGTGGTCCCTTGGCCTGTTAGAAGCAGCTGGTCTGAGGCCCGACAAGCCATAATTGTTCACCAGTAGATAGTGTGGCAAAGGTCAGAGCTTCTCAGGACAGGAACTGGGCCATTTTGGTTATCTGACGGGCAAGTGGGATATCACAGCGAGTCTATGGTAGGGTGAGGTTGGAGGGGGAAGGCTTGCTCGGCTCCCATACCCTTGAAAGCCATACCTCTGGCACGATGAAGCACCAAGGAAGAAATTATGGAAGCTGGTGGGACATTCCCTCAGAATTCCTAAGTGATTTTTGCAAGGCTTTCTTGCTTTGTCCCTGAGTTGCTCCCGTCATGAAGGTGCCGCATGTTCTCCACTGGACATTCTCAGAAAGGTCCCTCATCAGTGGTACAACCCCGAACCCTGAGTCTGTCGTCTGACACCGTGGCTTTGTAGCCCAGGCAGCGAGAGGCAGTCTTAGTCACTGTCACTGAATGTGACCACGGGGTGTGCATCACAGAATGATAGATACCGAGGGCCTTCTTGCACGCTTAGCTCCATTTCCACTGGAGCTTTCATAATTTAAATGTAAAAAGAAAAAACAAAAAAACCCTTTTCCTTTCCTGAGTGCGGTTTACTTGAAAGTCTTAATTGCTCACACTTGTGTGAAGAGGCTTGCTTTGTTCAGGCCTCGTTTTCCTCTGTTTGTTGGTATGGGATGAGGAAGGCTGAGCTGTAAACGGTCTTGGTAGGCATTAGGGTTTTCTTTGTTGATTGTCAAGAATAAGAGAGAACACAGCACAGTGTCTCAGACTGGCAGCCCTAGTGTTCAGGACACTGAGACGGGAAGATGGCAAGTTCCAGGATAGCCTGGGCTACCTGGTGAAACCCGGCTTTAGAAATAACTAACAGACTAAGAGTGGTTGTTTTATGACACAAGACAGGTATGACTGCTCCTACAAGCAAGCAATCGGGAGGCGCCGTGTTCCCGAGATTTTCGGAACCCACACATTTTAAATGGCCTTTAAAAACAGGCACAGAAAGCGGGTCCAAAGTGTTCACCTTTCATTAAGAACAAAGATTCTCTTACAGTCAACTCAAATCCATAGCATAAAGCTAGGTCTTCAGCCTCTAATAGTCTCAGAGTCCTTTCTGGAAACAAACACCTATGCTTCCCTTTTCACTTTTCCCTAGATGTAAAATGACTTTGACGGCAGGGCGGGATGGAACAATCATTCCAGTCATCAACTGTGATTTATTTTCTGTTTCCTTGGTTTTTCTGCCCTGTGGTTGTATGCATTGCATTCTACGTGGGTCATAAATTCAACACTGGCTTTTTTTTTTTTTTTTTTTTTTAGTTCTGTTATTAAATTATATTTTTCTATGTTTTAAGTAATAGCAGATCTGGGCTTTTCTGTATAACAGAGCCGGACGGACCTGTAACTATGAGACAAGAGTTCTATTTTAGCACAAAAGCATTTTATATTATTTATTGAATCCGTATGTATGTTCCCATGGAAACCATCTGTATTTCTGCTCTCTGTGATCTGTATAGTTTGTTATTTAAAGGGAGACGGCAGCCTTTTGTGTTGTTGAGAACAATAAAACTGAGCTCCTCAGAGCAGCAGTGTGAGGCTGACATCTCATTTCCCTGGCTTGGACTGTCCTGAACGGAGGCACGCACGTGGGCTTTGTGACGAATCGCAGGTGGGTTGCTGGAAGTTGAGACCTCCTACCTCTTCAAAAGGCACCGAGTGTGCTGGGCCCCAGGCTGACTGCCAGACATTTTGGAGAATGACATCCAGAGTTATGCCCTGAAGATGATGATGCTGTTTTACAGCCAGCCTTGTCAGGGGTCCAGGAAGCAGGTCAAATAGGTCCCTTCTCTAGCCAGCATGGCCTTCTGGGAGCTGGGGATGCCCAGTGAGCCTCAGTCTTCTCACTCTCTGCCATTCCCTTTCAGTCTCACTGGCCTCTGTGTTTAGTAATCACGAGAACGCAACCCTCTTTCTCTCTCTTCTTTATGTGGAAAGGTGTGTTTTTAAACTACTTTGGGGAGACGCTGATTTGAATGTGCTCTCTTACCCCTTTCTATTCAGAGCAGCTTGGAAAGTGGGGTGGTGCAGGCAAACAGCCATACCTAGGAATGACCTTGACGGGAGCCAATTCTTAGGTTAAACGGACTCTCCATGGTTTCGGTGGAATGGGAAGAAGAGCTGTCCATGGTCCCTTCCTGTTTATAGCTGCCTAGTGACTATCTTGTTGGCAAAGTGTGTAAGTGTGTTAACACCTGCAAAGAAGTTAATCGGTTCCCTGCTGCGCGTTAGCTACCCAGAAAATAAAGCTGGTGAGCTACCTGAATGCTGCACACGGAAGACCAGCATGTGTTTTTGTCTCTTTTCATACTTACAGCGCATTTAGAGCCCTCTAGGGGACATCTCACAGCCCTGAGTGTGGTATCACAGTCCACATCACCAACTCTTGGCCCTGGGTGTGACATCACAGTCCACATCACCAACCACAGGCCCTGGGTGTGCTATGCCACAGTTAGTCCATGTCATGATGAGGCCCGGTGGCCAGCAGGTGTTGCTGCTGCTTTTAAGGATCTTCCAGCACAGTTGCTTTTTCAGGCTCAGGGTTTTGGAATCTCCCAAACTTTACTTGGTCATATTTTTTTGGGGGGGGCTACTTTATATTTTCCAAACCTATTCACCCTAATCCCTTCCAACACTCCCCCCCAACAATAGGAAGGTTAGAGGGAAGAGGAGACATAGACCACTTTAGACTACTTCCTGCTGATTTAAGAGTGTCAGGTTCCTAGGGGCAAGTCCACTCTTCATTGTCAGAATCTGCAGCAGTCCAGCAAACCAGCAAAGCAGAAATAGAAAACGCAGCAGCTGGAACCAGCAGTGTCAGGGACCAGCACCACAGGCCCCCTCAGAATTCTCCCATTTATGCCCTCTCCACAGTCCCCCAGAATTAAACGGTCTGCAGCTGGCCCCTCCTAGAGCACGAGACAATCATGGTTAACGGCTGTGGACAATCTGAAACAGCCTCATGTCCCACAGCTGGGATTAAAACGAAACCATGACTGGGTTTTAAAAAAAAAACGAAAGTCTCCCCACAACCCTTCAAGATGGGGGTCAAGAGATCAATCCCACATGAAGAGTTCCATCTTGCCTGCCGCATGTGGAAAACCACAGCACGCTCCCTGTTTGCTAACAGGATGGCTTTGGGTTTCCTTCCTGGAGAGAGAACACCTTCCTTGCTCTGCCCTTGCTTCATGGAGATGTGCTGACAGGCCCTTGTAGTGTATGCCAATTTAAACCAGAACCCCAAGCCATGGCTGCCTGGGCAGGACAGTCTGCTGGTAGATCCATGGTCAGGGTCAGCTAGGTACTTCCTGTCTCTGAGCTGGACAGGAAATGCCCTGTCTTGCTAATTAGGGAAGAAAGGAAGTCACCACTGACCTGGCCAGGCCACCACTGGGCCTCCCTGAAGTGTCTTAGTGCTAACTTTAAAACTCTTCAGCCAGTCGCTAGCAGGAGACCTTAGCCTGGTCTGTGTAACCATCCTGTGGGCAGAAGGCTCTGCCTTGTGTAAGCTGACACGTCTGTGACCAAGGCCGAGGAGCTCCCGGTCATCTGGAATGCCATGAAAATCCCATCACCCCCTAGGTAATGACATGAAAGGGAACTGGATTCACTTCACACTCAACTCCCAGCCAGTTGCCTCAAATAACCTCCACCCGTATCACTCTGAATAACACAGCCCACCTCACGTCTGTATGTGCTGTGCTCTCTCTCTCTCTCTCTCTCTCTCTGTGTGTGTCAGTGTGTGGTGTCTTGGGCTTTGTTTTTCCTGTGGAAGAAGTCCACTGTAGCATCTGGAGGATATTTTCATCAGGCTATCTTGAGCCTAGAAGAATATCCACGTGGAGAGGCGTTCACAAAACATTAGCACATGGGACGGAGTACCAGATGCAGGGGTTCAAGCCTGGAAAACACGCACGGGTATCAAGCACTACTGTGGAGGGTCGGGTCGCCTACAGCGGTGTTCACGTGACCTGAGCAGCCGCAGACATTTGCTCTCCTCCAGCCGCCCACTGTGTGCTTGGGTTACACATATGAGGCCCAGGAGCCTCCCAGTTTCTGGGCTCCCCAGTTTCTGATGTGGGGACAGGCTCAGGTGCCCTATAGGTAGGAGAAAAAGGAAGTCGGCGTATTGTCTCCTCCCCACGGTAGCCTGGGTCGCCGGTCCCCTCAGCTGTCAAGTCACTGCCCTGGGATATGGCTTCCCTACCTTTTCCACTTCAGCCTAAGAGGCTGGCACTGCTTCCAACCCCTCCGGTCTCCACTCTGCTTGTCAGTTTCCGAAGTGCTTCTGTGAGTGTCGGTCTACAGACCCCCTCATCCTCTGCGCGTGGCAAGCACTTTGAGGACCCCTTTTGCTTCAACTCCTGGTGTCACTCGGGGCACCTGTCCTAGTTTGCTTCCTGTTGCTCCGATAAAACATAGTGACTGAAAACACCTCAGGAAGGAAAGCGCCCATCCCGTCCTACAACTCTCACGGTGCTGAGGAAACTCAGGGCCAGGAGCTGAAGCAGAGGCTGTGGAGGAACACTGCACATGGATTGACCACCATGGCTTCCTCAGGCCTACCTGTGTAGGGGTAGGGACCTGCCCGCAGTGGCCTGGGTCCCCCAAGGTCACTGATCAAGAAGATGCCCCATGTTCTTGCTGTAGGCCAGTTTTATGGAGGCATTTTCTCAGTTGTGGTTCCCTTCTTCTGGATGACTCTAGCTGTGTCAAGCTGACAAAAACCCAGCCAGCACCTCCCTTCATGTAAAGTCCATACAGTGTTGAGCTCACAACAATATGACATAATGGGTTATGACAAGGTGGTGCTCCTGTAAATCCCTCCCCTTCCCCAGGCCCAGGCTGGGAACTGTGGAGAGACAGTCTCTGAGCCTTGACACTGTGAACCTAAGAGAGCAAGACTCATTGAGGGGACTGTCAGGTGCTGTGGGAAGTTTAATTATGCCCTTGTCCTCTTCATGGATGCCAGCACAAAGGTCCCCACAATCCAAAGTGTCTCCAGACACTGCCACGGATGAAAGGGGACAAAATTGCTCCCAGCTGAAAGCCGCCAGTTTACAAGAGGGTGGTTTTTGCAGAGTTGGGCTTAGGACTGGGCAGGACTCCATGGATGGGTGCTGACTGAGGCCAGGTTTAGTGTCTGGGGCTCTGACTTCCCTGAGATGTCATGAGCCCACATGGCTGCAGTGGCCGAATCTCCAGGCCAAGAAACAAGCATGGCACTGGACTGCTGGAGGCCACACCTCCCTGAGTCCAATGTGGAGGAGCTGTGGCCATTAGAGGGGTGGGAGGGGACCCGCCTGGGGTCTCTGACACAGGCCAGAGCCACAGGGCACAGCTGGGCAGGGACAGGAAACTCCATGTCTCTCCTTCAGTGCATGGTGAGTTCACACTGTAGACAGTGCTGACAGGAGCCGGGGAGAGCGAGCAGGGCTACGCCTGTCCAGGCCACAGTTTGCCAGGGTCATCCATGGTCACCTGGGCTCTGGACAGGAGAAATGGGGTAGAGAGTGGTCATGCATGCACCACCCACCTTGGCAACATCCTCATGGGTGACCTTGACCACTGGACCAACCAGATCTCCTCTCATAGAAAGACCTACTGGCCCAGTGGCTTGGGGTACTGTCATCAAATGTTCTCAGCTGTCATCTCCTCTGGGGGTGCCTCAGCAACCGGGTGACACCTGCTGAGTGGCATGCCCTTCCTCCAACCTCTGTTTGACACTGGCATGTAAGGGGCTGGTTTTTTTCCAGAGGACTGTAACAAATACAGGCTGAGGTGGTCTTGGGACCTCCCTGTTCCCTGACCTGATACTGTTCCCCAAGCTTCAGGCACCCGCTCATTAGATCCCTTCTCAGGGCTCTGTCTCAAGGAAGCCAGTGTGCAGTTACAGTACAGGACTGGACAGATCCTCTCAGGGACAGAAGGAACTGGTGTGCTGGGTCACGTCCCTGTAGGATGGCGAGTGACAGGTGGAAATGGGTGGCAGTGGGTGAGACAGACACTGACTCATTAGGCCATCTGAGTCTTCACCTTTCCTATGAAAGAGGCTGGAGATGGGATGTCTGGGACATAAGTGGCCTTGCTGGTGTTCACAGCTGGGATCTGAGAAAAATAGGGCAGGTTTCATATAGGCAGGGACAGGGGACAGGGTGATTGCTTCACCTGATCCATGCTCTGGAAAACATACTGAAGGGCAGAAAGAGATCAGTGGTCCATTGGCAGCAAAATATGGAAGAAAGACGCCAGCCTAGTGGCATGTGATGGGGAACCCAGATGGTGGGAGATGGGCCAAATGAGGACCAGCCCTGGGGCTGAGCAGTCAGACCAGGTTAGTGGCAAAGTGGTTGAACTCCCCATCAATACCACCACCCGTGGTATTTTTCTTGGGAAGGCTGAGACCTTGTGACAGGAAGCAGGGACACCTGAGTTGGTGGCTGGAAACTTGGGAGTGATGGCTCCTGAGGACCATCTGTGGCTGTGGTAGTCCCGTCCCGTAGCAGCCAGGGGAGCGCCATGGGTAGCTTTCATTGAAGACCTGACACAACCTAGAGTCATTTGAAGGAGTGCCAGGGTTGAGAAGTTGCCCTAGTCAGGTTGGCTCCTGGGCATGTCCATGGGGAGTTGTCTTGACTGTTGATTGGTTTGGCTAAGCCCAGCCCACTGTGGGTGGCAACAACTTAGGCAGGTGGACCTGAGCTGAATAAGAGCCAGCTAAGCGGGAACCTGTGAGCAGCTTTCCCCCATGGCTCCAGCCTGAAGTTCCTGGCCCAGCTTCCCTCGATCCTGATTGTTTCCTGGAAGTATAAGCTAAATCAATCTTTTCCTTCCCAAATAAGCTAATCAAGGCTAGATCCCACTCACAAACAGGAGAACACCCCAAGGCTAAAGGGGCAGAGGGCGCCAGCACTACCAACCACCGACAGGTTTACTGGTGGCTGTCTTCTGCAGAAAGCACCAATGGTGGGGAGAGCCTTTACAAGCCTACTTTAGTTTCTTTAGTCATTCAACAAACATCCACTAAGCATCCACCATGGACTAGAAAGAACAGCCAGTGGGGCAAGGATCCTGCTTCAGAGAGGGGAGCCCTTCAGGCCCTTTCCAGAGGCACACAGCCTGAACTGGGTCTACCTCAGAACCTATACCCATCCTCAGAGCTTGGTGCAGGCCCAGTGCCTTCTGGGAGTTCCCTATTCTCTCTCCCTCCACATTTTTATTTTAAATCTCACTGTTATTCTGCTCAGCAAAAAACAGAGCCATGAGTAGACCAAGAGACTACAAGCCGCTGGCAATGGACAGACAGCGAGAGGAAGCTCCCAGAGTCCACGGTATCAGTTGTTTGTCACAAACACTGAGCACTTGCCCTGTAGTTTGGAATCTACAATCATTCACCAAACACCCCTTCCCTGGGTCATGCGCTGCTTCGAGTGACAATGACTCAGACAAGAGGTTTTCCTCACTGAGGGGACAGTGACCCAGGGCCCTGGCCTCTGATGTAGTAGCACTGACGTGTGCGGGGCGCTTCCTTTTTTATCTAAATGTGCGTGCTTATGCACATACATGCGTGGGCAGACACACACTCATGCACACACAGACGCACACCAGCATTAGTGAGAACGGCACCCCATAATGGTAGAAGTCAGGTACTGTCACAACTTCCTCTGAGGCCAGACAGAAGCAGCCACCCTAGTGAGTGACAGGATGAAAAGGGTTGGAGGTTCCAGGACGTCCAGCTGCAGGTGGGCCCCCATGAGCCCACAGGGTGTGAACCACTCAGATGGCCAGGAGACTGAGGTCAGTGCCCGGAAAAATACACATTCCTTTGGCCATCTTGTAGACCCAGAGCTCACTGGCTGAAGGAGCCAAGTCCCGGGGGGGGAGGGGTGTCCCCAGAGCCCAGCAAGAGTGAGGTGACTTTCCTAGTCTGCTTTAACAGATCGATGGATGGCTCCAGGAATGGTGAAGCCAGCCCACCAAATAGCACTGTGACCCTCTCTCCTGGTGAGAGTGGCTTGTGGGAGCCCAGCATGGCAGCTTTGGGGCATTTATTTATTTTTTCTTCTCCTCCTCCTGGGGAGGAAGCATGATGGATGCCACATCCTGCTTACCAGCTCCAGGATGAGTCACAGCGACGCTTGTCATCCCGGGGATGGGGTGGGGAGAGTCACCTCCACCTACCCAACATACCAGGGAGCTAAACAGATGTGTGTGAAAATCTTCCGGGAAGTGTCTCCTCAGGGTTGGCACGAAGAAACTGTGCTCCAGAGGCGGCCAAGGTTGCACCTCACAACGGCAGCTGACCTTGGTAGTGTAACAGTCACTCAGGTGGTACTGGTTTTGAAGGCATGAAGGGGTCATGGGAGCAGCTTAGGCTTAGCACTGTGAGGCAGGGCTGGAGTCCCTGAAGAGAGCCCAGGAGAGGTCATTGGTGAAAGTGCAGCCCAGTCGGAGCAGAGACCCCAGCATTTTGGGGATACCAATAGCATGGGATGACCTCCAAGAACAGCAGCAGCAGTAGGGTGGAGCCAGCTTGAGCCTAGAAGACAAGCTGTGTGTGCTGCAGAGGGCAGAGCCAGAGAGGTGACCCAAGCCCCTTGGAGGAGCACAGAAGATCATGAGTCCCAGATAATTGGACACTGAGTTATTTATGCTTCTGGAGTTTGGTTTTGCTTTGTTCAGATTTTGACTGTGCCCTGGTTCGTCCCTCTTGAAATAAGAAAGCATTTAATTTGTTTTTGTTTTGACATGAGCACACAGTTGGGAGACTTTGAACTTTAAAAGAGATTTTACAGTTTTAAAGAGACTGGATATTTTTCAAAGACTGAACTTTCACTGTGTTTGAAATTGTAAAGACTGTGGGACTTTTAAAGTTATCTTTTATTTTTTTAATATTTATTTATTATGTTATGTATATGAGTACTCTATCTGTATATACACCTGCATGCCAGAAGAGGGCATCAGATCCCAATGTTGGTTGTGAGCCACCATGTGGTTACCGGGAATTGAACTCTAGGAAGAACAGACAGTGCTCTTAACCGCTGAGCCATCTCTCCAGCCCCGAGGGGCTACGACTGGGATTTAAAATGAGTAAATAAATAAATTAACTAAAATAAAGTTTTTATATTTTATATTGTGATGTAAATATTAATGTGCCATCTTGGCGATAAATGAGAAATGAAAGGTTCTAACTGAAAAGTGATTTGTTTGTGTGATAAGCTGTCAAGAAGCCAATTGTGCTGGCTAATTTTATGTCAACTTGACACAAGCTAGAGTTATCTGAAAGTGGGGAACCTCAATTGAAAAAAAAAAATGTCTCCATAAGATCCGGCTGTAGGCAAGCCTGTGGGGCATTTTCTTAATTGGTGATTGATGGGGGAGGGCCCAGACTACTGTGGGCAGGGCCACCCCTGAGCTGGGGGTCCTGGGTTCTATAAGAAAGCAGGCTGATCCAGCCAGGAGGAGCAAGCCAGTGAGCAGCACCCTCCATGGTGCTCTGCATTGGCTCCTGCCTCCCTGTTCTTGTCCTGTCTGGGTTCCTGTCCTGACGATGAACAATGATGGATTATGGTGTGGAAGTGTAAGCTGAGCAAACCCTTTCCTCCCCAAGCTGCTTTTGGCCACAACAACAGTCACCCTGACTTACAAGGGGAAATGCTGCCTTCTGAGGTTGAGACAGAGAATGGAGAGAAGCAGGTAGCTGCCTGCCCGGCAGGCGCAGGACCCAGGTTCCAGCCCCATCATCTAATAAAAAGCCAGGTGTGGTGGTCAGTGCTTGTAATCCCAGAGTTGGGGGCTTTGTGGGCAGCCAGCTCAGCTCAAGGACTATTCCAGTTCCAGGCCAGTGAGAGACCTTGTCTCAAAAACAATGTGGATGACATTCTGAAGAAAGACACCCCAAAGTTAACCTTGGCCCTCCACATGCAACAGCATGCACCCACACATGCAAAAGCAGCTGGGGGCATGTGACCACACACACATACACACATGTACACACAGGCACACGAACATGCACACGCACATACACATGAGAGTGGAAACGTGTTTAGAAGGATGCCTGCCCTGTTTCCATGATTAGAGTCCTGGATTTGAGATCTGCCCAGATCCCCTGCTAGTCGTGTAGCCTTGTGCACCACAGGCATGCGATGTACCAAAGGCTGAGCCTCCTGGCACTCCCTGGAGCTGACACTCAGGGCCATGTGCAGGCTGAGCGCTGGCTCTCCCCTGTGCTCCGCCCAGATGGGGACAGAGCACTTTGGGCGGAGGCTGGTTTAGCACCCTGTTTACACTAGAGCCTTCGAGGTGAGTAATACCTGGGTTCAAATATTGATTTTTCCCATGTCTTGGACAAGCTGGCTTAACCTAAGAAGGGCTTTAAATTACAAGTCTTTATTTCTGTGTGTGTTTGCACTAGGGACCTGGGGGGCGGTCACAGGACAATTCGTGAAAGCCCTGCGGGTTGAACTCAGATCAGACGCTTGGCGGCAAGCACTCCCCCCCGCAACCATCTCACCTGCCCCCAGTGGTTAACCTTTGTGCTTCAGTTTCCACCTGTAGAATGGAGATGAGAGGACCCCTCCCCTCGCCCCCTTCCCCAAGGCTGTAGGGAATAATGAGTGAATCAGAGCCCTTGGCAGGAAGCTCACTGGGTGAGACTGTTGCCTACCTTAGCTTGCTTACGGCACCATTCCCACAAGGAGCCACCAGAGCGGTTGAGGTGGCTTCCACCCAGCCCTGACTCCTTCCTGTGGCAGAAGCCGCAGCCTGGGCGAGTGTGACCCGCCCCTGGGGACTAGATGGAGGCTGGGAAGACACTTGTCCGGAGAGGCCCCTCCTGCTCCCTGCCACCATATATGTCCATGCTGTCCGCAGCTGGTTCAACGGCCACCACCCCGGCTGTGTCTCCTGCCCAGACCTGGGGCTCACAGGCTAATTTTGGAAATGACTGGGGCCCAGCTGCTGCTATCTCACTGGCTGGGGGAGGAGGCTCAGGCAGGGCTGTGAGAGAGTGCAGAGGGCCCTCCTGACACCACACCACCACACCACCACACCAGTCCCTTGCCCTGTCAGGCTCTCCAGGCTTGCTGGGGTCCCTTTGTGACCACCCGGGGAGACTATTTGGATAGGAGTGGTTCCAGAGACCCTCGCTGACCAGGTACTGTCGGGCTCGGGGTCATGCTGACACCCTGCAAGCTGGGAGCAAGTCTTGGTATTCGGAGGGCTGGAGTGAGGCCTTGGGACATGTGGTCTATTTTAGGCCTTTCTGGTGGGGAGTGCTTCTGAGGCCTTTCCCTTCGCTGTGGACTCTTGGCGTTTGCTCCAACACCAAACTATTTGGTGTAAGGATTTTATCCTAGGTTATGGGGGTTTGTTTAAGCTCAGGGGTTTTGTGTCTGTTAAAATTAAAATTTAATTTAAAGTTAGTTTTAATTTAAATTAATTTAATTTTAAATTAAATTTTAATTTTAAATTAATGTTAAATTAAAATTTTGTGTCTGTTAAAATTAAAAACCATTTATAGTAGGTATATCATTTCGCTGGAGGGAAACATGCCACAGCACACCTGTGGAGTCAGAGAACAGCTTCTGGCAGTAGGCTCGCTCCTTCCACCATTCGGGACCCTGAGTGGTCCCATGTGGGTATAGAACTTGTGTCGTCACGCTTGGCAACAATATCCTTTGCCTGCTGAGCCATCTCACCAGCCCATTGCCAATGTCTGTTTTAGAAATACGTTGAGTTCTGACTTAACACTGTTGTGGGATCTGGGAGGGTGGATTCCGGCTCTCTCTCTCACTCTTTCTGTGTGTGCGTGTGTGTGTGCATACATGCATGCGGAATCTGTGTATGTGTGGAGTACGTGTAACGTGTATATGTATTGTGTGTATATGTGTGTGGTGTATATATATTTATGTGTCTGGTATGTATATATATGTGTGTGTGTGATACGTATGTGTATGCACATATGTGTCTCTGTCTGTGTTTAGTTTCCTTGATTTCAGTTTTACTGGTTTTCTGCATTAGTCTGGAAGCCCCAGGTTCCCCCTCCAGAGTGTTCAGCCCTGCGAGCTTCAGCCTGAGCTTCGTGGGATTTTGTTTCAAATGAAGCCTGTGTGTGAGGTGGGGGAGGAGCCAGAGGTTTCGGTGTTTCTTGAGGGGAGCCGTTGGCCATGACACACTGATAGCCAATTCCTGTGAAGAAGATCCACCAGTCCCCGTGGCCCCAGGGAGGGTGGGAATGCTGAGGCCTCAAAGTGGCAGGCTCAGGCAGTGAGTTGTCTCCCTGAGTTGACACTAAAGAGCCGGGGCTTCCCAGGACGGTCCCAGGGTGGGCCTGGCCTGGCCCGGCACTCAGGGCTGGGAGCTCTGACTGCGAGCTGACTGTGTGACTATCTTGGAAGACTATTTCTCCTGGACACTGCTCCTGTGGCTGAGCCCTCAGGACCTCCAGGCCTTGTCCTCCAGAAAGGTGGAGCCCGGGGAGGGAGGTGTTCTGGAAACAATGGAGGCTAGAGAGGAGAAGGAGAGAAGAAGAGAGTGAGGAAGGGGAGGGTGAGAAAGGAGGAGGACTGGCAGAGGGGGCAGAAGAGAAGAGGCAGTCTCAGGACAGAAGGGAAAGTGAGGGGGAGGGGGACGAAAGAAAGAGCCATAGAAGGGAGACAGGGTGGCAGGCAGGGCCCTCTTTTGAGGGCCTTTTGGTAACAACCAGGCATTGGATTCTCCCTGCACATGGGCCTGGTCACCTTGAGTCATGGGACCTAGCACTACTGACCCTGTGACCTTGGCCATGACCTTCGTGGCGAGGATTGTGGTTTTTCTTCTAACACTGGAGGGCTGAAGGGCCCCTGGCCTCTCCTCCAGGCCAGTGTGGGAGAGGCACCAATGTCCAAGGCGGGACAGGCTTCACACTGGCCTGGGAGGGGGTTGGAAAGCCTAGTCCAGGCTTATCTCCGACTCTGAGAGCAGTGCTCAGGGCTGACCAGAGACCAAAGATTGGACCCTTTGTGGATGCTTCGGTCTGGAGCCCACCCACATCAGAATTCATAGCCTTCTCCATGAGGTGTGCTGTGCACGTGTGTATGTGTGGTGTGTGTGTGCACTGTGGTGGGGGCTGCTCAAGACAGGCATCACCCGTCATAAGCACAGAAAACACACAGCTTTCCATCAGGCCCCAGTTGCTGCAAAGGTCTGAATAGGATGTGTGTGTAGAACGCTGTACCCCTCTGCACCATCTGAAAATGAGACTCTATCCCCCATGCTGGGAAGACTCCCTCCCCACTGCTGCCTAAAGGCAAGACCTCAGGCTGCTTCTCTGCAAGGCCACTGGGGGGGGGGTAGCCCTCCTCCGTGCACACAGTCCTTAGGGCCGGTGCTAAGTCGGTGTTCTGTTACTTGCTTGTACTGGAAGCAATAAAAGCACAGGGTGGGGAGGGTGATCCGACACAAATGCAGTCGGATTTGGGGAGCTCTCTCACACTCCCTGTGTGCTAAGGCACAGAAGAGAGGGGCAACTTGCCCACGGTCACACAGCTAGCTCTGCAGTGGCAGGATTGGGCTTAGATCCAGGCAGCCTGTTGGAAGAAATAACCCAGTCTACTTTCCCTCCCCCCAAATCTCAGTTATCATCATCCAAGACTAGAGGGAAAACATGCAGCCTCATATATTTTAAAATTATGTCTGTGTCTGCGTGTCTGTGTGTCTGTGGGTAGCAGAGCCTTGGATCTGCTGGGACCATTTGTGTGACCAGCACAGCTGGCCCTTAGCTGGGCAGAAACTTTGGGGCTCAGGGTCTTGGGAGTTCCTCTTCATCCCCCAACCTGGGCTCATTTTCAGCTGTTTCTGGGAACCAGCTGGTGTTGAGGCTCTGGTTTCATAGAGGGCATCTGGAAAACGGTATAGAGACATTGTTTATTTGGGACCAAACATTTCACTCAACCTTAATATTCACAGTGCTCTGGCAAGAAGAACAAACCCATTTCCCAGTTCAGGAATGTGGGGCTTCAGAAACCCAGGGTCACACAGACAAATGAACTGGAGACCAGGTGTTTTCTGATAGACATCCTGTGTGACACTTTAAATGACTTGGATTAAGATATCAACTCCTGTGAGGTTTCACTGGGGACAGACGGATGGCAGAGGCCATGCTAGGTCATCTTGCTGGAATGGGCTGTCTGTCAGTGGACGACTCCATCGGTTTTACAGAGGGAGAAATGGCACCACCGATGCAGAGAGTGGCTGGCTCTTCCTCCTATTTTCCTGTCATCAGTGTTCAGCACATTTTCTCGTTTCTTTCCACGCCGTATCTTTTTCCCGTCTGAAGCAAAGATGTGTCTGCATCCATTTCTGTTCATGCTCCATTCTCTTTGCCTTTATCCTTCTATTCTTGGTCCTGGATGGGTGCTAGTCTCGACTACAGTGAATATGTGGCAGGATCACCCTCTTTCTGGATGTTGGTTCCTGAAAAGTGCCTAGTGGCATCTCTGTCTGACCCAAGAGACTGCCTTTCCAGTGTGACAGCTGCAACCATCCTCAGGCATCACTAGCATCCATGGGTGGGCACACTCACCGCTTGATGAGACTCATTGGTGCAGCCTAAGATCCATTGCTACACCCATGGCAGACATGACTAGTCAAGCCCCGCACACTGCCTTGTCAAATCAGACATAGCCCAGGCAACTACCCAGCTATGGGAAAAACTTCATTGGCCACCTCTCAGTAGGTCATCAGGCCCACTTGCAAGATCCAGCATGTCTTTAGGGACTGAGTGGCTGGTGAGGGACATGTGACTCACTGTATAATTGAAAGACAGAAGGGGAGGAGGGACCTTACAGGTCTGAGAAGTTTAGGAGACACGGCGGATACAAATAGCCTTCGTGAGGCTAGGCTAGGCTAGTGCATAGACCATAAGAGATCAGTGTCCCTGTCTGACAGATAGTGGAACTACAGCCCCTGTGAGCGTGGGCTCAGGCGAGGCCTGAGGTTTCCAGGGTGGTTGATGTCAGTGTCTCCAGGGGAAGGAAGGACAGCCTTGGCCCTGGTCCACCTCACACAGAGGGAGATGGCCACACAGGGCACAGCCACTTCCTTCTGAAGAATGGTAGGAGGCTCCAGATGAAGACCTGAGATATGTGTGTGTGTGTGTGTGTGTTTGTGTGTGTGCAGGAGCCACACGGGAAAGAGATTCTTGCTTAAGAGATCAGGGCTGGGGTGGGAGGTAGTTGTGCAGGTACCATGACAACACAGCTGCCTGTAGAGGAAACGCATGTATTGGGCCTGGGATGTAGGCGTCTAGACCTCTGCTTTTTTCTGGACCACAGAGGCAATGGCAGGAGAAGGGGCTTATGGTCTCAACACCAACTTCTGCCTCACATTCCTGAACTGTGCAATGGAGCAAGACCAAGAGGGACCCCTGAGGTGATGTCCAGGACATCAGAGTGACACAGGCAGGCACCTGGGGAGTGCAACTCTGTGCTGAGGTCAGGCCTTCTGGCTGCCTTTACCTTGTGTCCCCCCCTCCCTCTTGTGAATTCCTTTCTGCAACCCTCTGTCTCCTAGATGGCTTACCCACACCTCAGGTCCCTCCTCTTTGACTCTCCCTCTCTCTGATCCTCCCTTCCCCATGATGGTTTCCTTATGACACGCCTCATCTATGACCTTCCCTTTCCTATGTGACATTCTCTCCCTTGTGACCTCCTGATGCCTTTCTTTGTGACCCTCCCTCCCTCTTGACCCCCCTTCCTGTGACTCTTCCTCACCTGTGATGTTCTCACCCATGCAGCCTTCCTCCTGTGTGATCCAGTCTCCATAATCTCCTTCAGTGTGACTGTCACTTCCTTGTGACCTTCCCTCCACCACGGACTCCTTACTCTATAACCCCCTTCTCATGTAACCTTTCCTCTTTGACCTTTGACCTGTGACCCCCCTTCTCTGTAACCTTCCTTCTCTGTGACCTTCAACCTGTGACCCGCTTCTCTGGGACACACCTTCTTTGTGACACTTCTCTCTTGTCTGTTCCTCCCTGTTCTGCCTCTTCTCCACGATCCTTTTGTCCTATGACCCCCTTTTCTATTGCTAGCCTCCTACTCCTGAGCCCCTGCTCCCCATTTTTCTCACCTCTGTCTTGGCTGCTTTCGTTTCCTTCCTTCCCTCTCCCCTACC